TGGGTGATGTCCTGCAGCTGATCCCCCCAAGACGGGGGAGCTGCTTAATCTAAGTGCACGGGGGGAGGGTCTATTTCAACTGAGCCGCACCAGCCAGGGTGTGCTGTTTGACGTTGGTAGGTTCGGGGTAATTTGTTACGCAGCAACGGTTGACGGATACACTACCTCACTTCCCTTTCCCCCTCGCTCTTGCTGCCCTTGGACCATAACCCCCATAATGCTTTATGCAAATGAATTTTCCCGTGGGCTTTGTTTTCTAGGGGACCCGTTCCCGCTTCCCATCCCAGGAACCTCCGCATTGTACCAAAGGAACAGAACATCGTGTTCAAAGCCAGAAACAACCATCCCTCCATATGCAACAGCGTCCTACCCATTTCTCCCAACGGGGCCTTCTGCTTTTGAACACTTGGGTCTGACAGACTCGTGCCATGAACAGGGTGGCCTTCTCATACCAGTTATGCACATGTGACACCCCTGGACCCTAGGGCTCCCCAAAGCTGCCCACAGCATCCCCTATGGAGACAACCCAATTCTGGACTCTCCCACCCATTTGCAATGTTCATTCAACAGACGACCAACACGGTGGCTTCTTCCCAGGGGTAAGGAACTAAAGGCTTTGGTTTGGCAGCCAGTGGGAGAGGTGGGGGTGGAGGTGGGGCTGGATTTGGTTTCCTGTGCCTTTTGCTCTTCTTCTCTCACTCTTACAGGCTGGCCCCTAAGCACCCCATTGCATATTTGCTCCTCCATACACCCCCTCCCCCCCAAACTGAGCAGGAGCATGGAAAGGAAGAGAAGCTTAACACCAAGTCCGTTTCAGATGCAAGCCCCTGGATTTCCTGGGATCGGGGGACACGTGTATTTGGGAATTGCCTGTGTTTTATCGGGGTCCCGTTAGTGCAGGAAGTGGTATTGGTTCTATACAAAGTCCTCAGGGCAGCAAAAATGTTTTTTTTCTCCCAGTCCCTTCTGTGAACAGACAGACAAAGCCTGGCTCACCAGACACTCGGCGGCTGACACTGGACGCCCATCCCAGCTCCACTCTGGGAGAGGGGACCCCCCTTGAGTAAAAGGAGGTGGGTGAATTCTGAGTTCTCTTTCTGGAACCTGGGACAGGACTTCCTCCTCCTCGGGCCTCCTGCAGACTCCAGAAG